TTCTTAGGCACCCGTGTGTTTGATCCATACGACCTGACCAAACTGGTCGATTTCATTGATTGGAAGCCTTTCTTTGATGTCTGGCAGCTCAGGGGGAAATATCCTAATCGAGGTTACCCTAAGATCTTCAACGACAAGACTGTTGGTATGTATTTGTATTTTGTTTAGTTGTTTATTTATTTTTATTCGCACACGTTCTGAAAAGCTGGATGAATATAACAAATCTTATTGATGTTTTGTCCTTGTAGGATCGGAGGCCCGCAAAGTTTTTGATGATGCCCAGCGGCTGCTTGACCAAATGATTGCTAACTCAAGTCTGACGGGGCGAGGACTGGTTGGGTTCTGGCGCGCCCAGAGTAATGGCGACGACATCAACATGTACACTAATGACGAAACAGTGCAAAGAGATTCCCAGCCAATCTCAGTATTGCACGGTTTACGGCAACAGGTGAGAGAAAATATGAACAAGGTCTTGTCAAAGATATTAGGTCAAGAAGAAGGTGATTCTGAAGTCTGACCAACCATTATGTTTCTCCGCTTCAGGTGGAAAAGGATAGTGGACGTTCAGAACCCTACCTGTGCTTGGCTGACTTTGTGGCGCCCATAGACAGCGGCTTGGCTGACTACGTTGGAGTATTTGCCGTGGGGGTGTTTGGGGCTGAGGAACTGAGTCAGCAATTCCAGGCTGAGGGAGATGACTACAGCAGTATTATGGTCAAAGCTTTGGCGGATCGACTGGCAGAGGTGAAGGACCGATTGTACTGCTCGTCACCGCAGTGTATTTACATGAGTCCATTTGGCTTTTTATGTGATGTTTTCCAAGTTCAGTTGAAAATTTGGGTAAATAGTGTTTTTGCAAACTATTTACCGTATTTTCCGCATTTATAAGGCACTTCGGAGTATAAGGCGCACCTTCAATGAATGGCCTTTTTTAAAAGTGTTTTCATATACAGGGCGCACTGCATTATAAGGCGTGTAGAATAGACTCAACAATAGTGGATTTGTTTTTGGAATGCCATTTAAAAATGAGAATGACTCATTCACAGAGTGAAAATTCACTCCCAACTGGAAACGAAAGTCAATAGCACATTCAACAGCAAACATTCAAATGTCAGATGTTGACGCAATAAGGTCGTCAATGGCCAAGTTGTTTGGAACAGCGTATAAAAAACACTCATGCTAAAATGGACCTGCAGATAAAACTGAAAATACTTAAGTCGGCCAAGTAGGTAATAATAGCTCATCACTCTCAAGAGACCCCTTTGAAAGCACCTTTCGAGGAATGTACAGCAAGTGCAACCAAGTGGAGCATGAGCTTCTTCTCTTTATTTTCGCCAGGCATTTGCAGAAGAGTTACACGTTCGTGTGCGCAAGGAACTGTGGGGCTACTGTGGCGATGAGTCTCTGCAGGCCTCAGACCTACACCGGGCTTGTTATCAGGGCATCAGACCAGCCCCTGGCTACCCGAGCCAGCCTGATCACACTGAGAAGATTGCAATGTGGAACCTTGCCGGTATACAGGAGAGCATTGGTAAGATTATGCAATTGAAAAATTTTTTTGATGGACTATGGGATCCATCCATCCATTCTCTGATCCGCTTATCCTCATAAGGGTCGCGCGGCCTGCTGGAGCCTATCCCAGCTGTCTTCGAGCAGAAGGCGGGGCACACCCTGAACTGGTTGCCTGCCAATCACAGGGCACACATAAATGAACAAACATCAATGCTCACACTCACACCTTGGGACAATTTGGAGTGTTCCATTAACCTGTCATGCATGTTTTTGGAATATGGGAGGAAACCGGAGTACCTGGAGTAAACCCACGCACCACCTTGCTGCCCTTCCCAAAACATCTTAGAGCCATTTTATTTCATGTAGAATCCTAAGATGAATCACGCCCTAACCAGTCAACCACTGGGCTGCCGGACCATTGGAGTTTTTTTTTTTTTAAAAGAAAAAAAAAAAACAACAGAAACTAACAAGGCATCACTGTGTGTGGACTGGAAAGGCACCCTGTAATGAGTTATAAATACGATGAGACAGGACAAGAACCGCCGAGCAAGGAAGTGCAATTGATCTGTCGTGGTGCAGCTATGCAGCAAAAAAATATCACTTTTCTGGCCCGGGTGCATTTGCGCATCTTCATGCCAGATTTGCATTCTGGTTGGAGCATCTCCAAAATGTGCGCGCTCACTGTCAAATCTGTTTTCTCTCATAGACTTAGAGGATTGAAGGATTTGAAAACAAATGAAACAATCTTTAAACAATCGTTTATACCTTCGTGGTTTTACCGACACAAATGTTTGTGTGCAGGACTCAAGTCATTTTTTTTTTCTTGGCGTGTTAAGTCCCTCAGAGTGCAGTATCTACTACTTAGCAAACACTTAAAAAGGATGAGTCTGGTCACGTGTGTGTGTGTGTGTGTGCAAGGAGTATAATTAAATGTAAATTGTCTATGTGTCCAGGTATTGCCTTGACAGAGTCACTGGCAATGACGCCCGCTGCCGCAGTCTCTGGCCTTTATTTCTCCAACCCCGAGGCATCATACTTTGCCGTTGGGAAGATCACCAAGGAGCAGGCAGGTTTTGAAAAGCAGCTGAAACGTGCAACTCACATTAAAAATAATAAAAATAACAATTAAAAAAAAAATAGATATTTTATAATAATAATAAATAAAAATATCAAATGTAATAAATTAAAAATATCCCCCCAAAAAAGAAGAAACAGAGAAATCAAACATACTTACCTACTCAGTCCAATACTTTTTACATGGACCTTTGAAAGCAATGGTCACTAAGCATATAATCTCCCGCGTTACTGAAATACAGCTCACCATTTTCTGTTTTGTTGTTGTTGTTGTTTTTTTTTTAAGTGTGTTATTCCATACATGGTGTTGACAGGACTTGTCTAAACTGACCACCTCGGGTGTCACACAGCAAGCTTGTAAGTCCACCTAAAAAAGCACCAAGCAGCAAATTACAGAAATGCTTTAATGTCCTGTATGTCTCTTCTGACATCAACAGATACAAAGGTATGTCAATATTCTTCCTAACCTTTGTGGTTACATTCGACATAGGTAATCAATATGCTCATGATCATTCCCAGATATTGCTACCTGTGGGAATGCGTTTTGAACATTTCTAGCCATTTAAAATGAAAATATTTACTTTGTAATAATATGATATGTCAAAAAACCAAACCAAAACAAAATAAAACCTAAAAGCATTGAATCTTCTCAAAAGCCGTTGGTGCGCTTTACAATCCGATGCGCCTTATATATGGATCAATATTCTGATTTCTTGGATGTAGTATTTTAAATGTAAAGCGCATTGTTACAGCTGCAGCCGTTATGAAAACGTGATATAAATCAAGTTGTATTGTATTGTATTACCTGTAGCGTAGCTCCATCTAGTGGATGCATAACGCAACCTCAGCCACTGGTGTAGCTTCTATTCTGTGCGCCTTATATGAAAACAGTTTTAAAATAGGCCATTCGTTGAACGTGTGCCTTCTACTCCGAAGCGCCTTATAGTGTGGAAAATACAGTTTTATACACACAAATGTTGTCATCGGATTCGGTGAATCTTTGTAGTCCAAATGGAGAATTCATTTTTTTAGTTTCTGGAGAATCTTTCTTGAAAGGGTCTATTTCTCCTATTGATTTAATGTTTTCATGCAACTGCGGTATCCAGCAAAGCTTGTGTTTGAAAAACATAGCAATACACGTTATTCTGGGTGAATTCATCATCGCTGGGAAATCTGCTATAGCTTAAAACGCAGCTGGTTTTGGATGTCGACGTCCACATCAGAACACCACAATGTTCCTCTATTGTTTGAAAAAAAAAAAAATTTTTTTTACATATTCTGCAGTGATTTTTATTACACTGCAATCATATTGGTCAAAACCCGAAAAGGGTAACCTGTATATTCTGCAATGGACGTGGCGTCAAAATGTTATGTGCAAAGAACCCATCAATTTTGGAATAAGACAAGCATTGGTAATGTAAAATGTGGATACCTTCAGAACACACTCTTTGTATGTCCCTTATAGGTGACCAACATTGCACTCCACATGCTGAAGAAACTCTCCCCTAACATTTTACATTTCCTTGTGTTCTTCATCAGGTGGAGGATTATTCCAAAAGGAAAAAGATGCGCGTAGAGGAGATTGAAAAGTGGCTGGCTCCCATCCTTGGTTACGACAGTGATGTGTAGAACCGCACCACACGGCCAGTGAAAGTGACCTTAACAAATTGCTTTCGTATTATTTTGTTCGCACCAAGGCCTCCATCATCAATGTCATTTGCAAATCGGAGCTATGCGTCAAAGGTTTGACGGTGTTGCTCAAAATGTTACAGAGTATAGTAAGGATTGAAATGTGAATAAAATGTTTAAGGTGTTACCAAGGGTTAATTTTACATATTTCATTGAACTCAGTTGATAACCTCTGTTTGAATGATACTTGGACTTGATTGTACTGCTTTTCAGGGCTATATAAATAAATTTGACTGGATTCTCTAAACCTGTGGTTTCAGAATGGCGATAATGAACAGAAATAAATTATATTGATGTGGCACAGTTTGTTTTTTTAATAAGTAATAAACGTTTGAGTATGTTCTGTCTTCCTGAATCCCAAAACCATTTCTTGTGTTGTTTTCACAACAAACATGCTTCAAGAAAGGACAACATCCCACACAATTACAATTGCACACAAAACAAACACATACAAGAATGTCAGCACAACAACATTGTAGTCCGCTAATGTCTCAAAAAGATCAATGAAAATTAAAGTCCAGGGTTTCGTAGTTTAGTTTTGATCCAGACCAAAACATTGGAAGCTGAAAAATCGACTTTATTCAAGACCGCCTCTTGTTCGGTTTTAATACCGAGCACTGCCGCCAGAGGGAGCCAAACAATTTCCTCCCATACCTGTGCAGCTCCTCCCACTTTGTGCGCGCACACCAATGAGGCGAGTCCCATCCTTTTCGCTCTGTGAGCCGTACATGCGCGCGCACACCGACACTAACCCACCATAACTTCCCACAACCTGCGGCAAGCTCGAGGCTCCCCAAGCGAGAGCAAACCATGGCTGACGGAGAAGGCGAGGACGAAATTCAATTCCTGCGAACTGTAAGTCATTTCGATGGTGACGAGAAGACATCAAGCGTGTGTGACGTGACACTTTGACGGTGGGCGTGCGTGCGGGGAAGAGCAGCCAGATTACCGCATTGAGCATGACAGCTCCCACCGACACGTCGTTCGTCTCGCGAGTGTGCCTCATGTGCGCAGATGATGGGTGGCAGGTGGAGGAACGATGGAGGGGGGGGGGGTGTCAGCAGTGCGCATCGTGAAGGAGAATTGAGTCGGCTTTTATGGGCTCGTGTGGATTGGCGGGGGGGGGGGGGGCGACG